AATCTTCTTTTGGCGTTGTTACTGTTGTATGTCAATTTTTGGAATGACACATTTGCCCCTGAGTTTGGTTGCAGTATAAGCTTTTATGCGTAAAAGACAAAAACTTTTTTTTATTTTTTTATTTTGGAGGAATGTTCTTAAAAGTTTAAATAAGCTTGACTTGTTTTTTTTAGTTGGTATACACGCTTAACAAAAATTAAAATAAAATAATTAATTAGGCAATTGTAAGAAGGTTGGGCAATTGTACCATAAATACTTTCATGTTCCTGTTATATCAATGACAGAGTGATACTAATTAATTAAATACTACTAAAAGTTATTAAATAATAAATTTTGTTTTACCTCATAATGTCTTTGTATCCCTTATATCTTTAGGCTCCGTTTATTTAAAAGTAAAATATTATTCAAAAAATATTTTATTTTTTTATTTTTTAGTATTTGGTTGTCGTAAAATATTTAAGAAGAAAAAAAATATTAAAATTTAATAAAAATAACTTATCCATTAATTTTCGACAAGTTATTTTACATGTCCCATCCGATGAATTCGACCTCAATCTCGAGGTAGATCTTTGTCAAACACCGTCAAAGTAAAATTAAAAGAATATTTTACGTCGAAACAAACGGATTAATGAGAGATATTTTGGATTCAATTTATTAATATTATGGATTTAGAATTATTTCTAGCTAGATTATAGAAAGAAATTGGGGTACTGAGAAAAAAGGAAGGAAAAAACAACCTTATATCTTTTTGCAGTGAAGAGACAATGAGAGAAAAGATGGTAGAAGGGATGAGTCATCATTCATTTTTTGCATATTTGTATCCTTCCAATTACGGGCGAAAGAGAGTGGTGATTATGACACGCAGTACTATTATGAAAATTTTGAATTATAACATTATCTTAAATTAAATAAATTTTAAATTATATTATTATCCTCTATAAATTACAATATTATACATAATGATGCGTATAATAGTAAAAATAATTTAAAACTCTTTCTATCATAAGTTGAATTCTCTTGTAGATTGACAAGTGATATTTATAATCTATTTACTGTTTGTGTATATCACGTCAACTAATTTAAAGAAAGTTTGAAAACTACACCGTTTTGAAATAAAGAAAATTAACGTTGTTCTCTCTCCCTCATCTTTTTTTTTGAAAAAGATCGCTCCCTCTCTCTCCAGCCTTTTGCTTATTCCCACTATTGGGGAACATTTCGCGCCAAAAATGAATGTACAAATTAAAAGCCTCTGTAGTAGATTTTGCAGTTTAATTTTTTTTTTTAAAAAAGAGGAATTTTGCAATTTAGATTTTAGAAAAAAAAAAAAGAAAGTGAACGAGAGCTTTTAGGCGCCAAAAATCGTGAGAAAGAACATTCAGTTTTGGTGTGAAATATTCCCTCAATAATAGAAATGAGCAAGAGAAGGGAGAGGGAGCGATCCTTTTCGAAAAAGATGAGGGAGAGAGAAAGAGTTAACGAATTCAAAACGATATAGTTTTTAAATTTTGATAAATTTTCTTTATCTCAAAACGGTACAGTTTTCAAATTTTTTGAAATTAGTTGACATGGTTTAACACAAGCCGTAGATAGATTTTAAATGTCACGTATCAATCGGCAGGGAATTCAACTTAGGATACCTTAGAGAATATTTAATTTAAAGGATCCAAGTCCATCTTCTTTAGGGATGTCTTAACTATCATCTCTTCCATCTACATTTTTTTCTTTCTTACCGAACAAACATCATATATATATTTTTTTAATGAGCAATCGATATTCATATTTAAGAGCGTTCGTTTGACATTTCAAAGGATAACATGCATTAAATAAATGTTTGGTCCAAAAGTTAGAGTTTTCGATCGAATGCTTACGTTGGAGTCATCATATAGCGTCTGAAAGTAAGACCCATTTGATTGCATTTATGTGAGTGAGGAATGATGTCATTCCCGCACTCGCATAAAACAATCCGGTGCATTCAATTTTTGAACTACTTTCCATTTAAAAAAAAAATTACATTGACCCCTCCGGTAAATACCTAAATAACAATGGGCCTCGCCTATAGTTTTTTTGTCAAAAAAATGGCCTCCTTACAGTTTTAGGCCTCGTTTGGATTGAAGGATTTGGAGGGTTTTGGAGAGAAAAGAAAGGGAAGGATAGGGATAGGTGTGTTTGGATGGAGGGTTTTGTAGAGAAAAGAAAGGATTGGGAAGGATTTGGAGGGATATCCTATCCCTCCAAATCTCTCCTAAACAGTAAAACCAAATCCCTCCAAAATTGACAAGATTTGGAGGGATTTGGAGAGAAAGGGAGCTAATGACCTTTGGAGCCCATCTGGAAAAGTCGCCGGAAGTTGCAAAGATCATCGGAAAATTCGTCGGAAGTTGCAGAGACTGTCGGAAACTCGCCGGAAGTTGCAGAAATCGTCGGAAAAGTCGCCGGAAGTTGCAGAAATCGTCTGAAAATTCGCCGGAAGTTGCAGAGAACGCCGGAAAATTCGCTGGAAGTTGCAGAGATCGTCTGTTGCAGAGATCGTCTTTTAATTTTGGTAGATTTTGTAGATTTTGTAGTTGGCAGTTGGAGAGAGAGACAGCCGATATGGGTTTTGACCTTCTATTTTTGTAGATTTTGTAGTTTGCAGCTGGGGAGAGAGAGAGAGAGAGAGCAGATGGGTTTTGATCTACTAATTTTGGTAGATTTTGTAGTTGGCAGTTGAAGAGAGAGAGAGAGGTGATATGGGTTTTTGACTATTTTTGTAGATTTTGTAGTTGGAGAGAGAGAGAGAGACGGAGGGATCTGTCAGATCGGGAATAGATATATGGAGGAGGCTGAAATGATTTTGTGTTCTAACCCTACCAAAAAGGGTAAAGGGTAAGATAGTAATTTTATTATTATCAATTCTTTTCTTTTCTCTCCTTTTTGTTATCCAAACAACAATATTATCAATTCTTTTCTTTTCTCTCCTATCTATCCAAACATGAATATAAACATTTCCTTCCCTTTCTTTTCTTTTCTTTTCTCTCATAATCCTTTCTTTTCTTTTCTCTCCAGTGTATCCAAACGAAGCCTTAGTCTATTGACTCCCTGTCATAAGAACCGTGACTCGGTGAGTATTGTCGATTGATCTCGTGTTTGAGATTTACTTAAAATTCAATTTTACTTAAAAAATTTTGAAAATACATTTTTGTCCATATATTGTAAAGTAAATAATAATAATAAAAAATATAAAGGGTATAATTATCATTTGACACCTTCAACAATGACATGGGAAGGAAGTGTTTTAAAACTACTGTTATTTAGACATCAACAGGGAGGTTAGTGTCATTTTCTAAGTTGAAAAAGGAAATCGAATTAAAAGTTGAACTAAACTTGTAAAAATACTAATAATAAGAGTACCAAATGCATTGACAAAATCATTGCTAATTATGTAATAATACCAATTAAACAAACTTGCTTAAAATTAGAATAAATCTGTCATTAGTATTTTCTAAAATAAAAGTTAAAGATCTCATGGTCTCTTGATGCAAGATTAAAAGATATAATAAGAATAAGAATTTTATGCAAAATTTTAATGTATCTATTTATCTCTCTTATGTAAACAAATTTATTTTGTTTGAACAGATGCTTCAGTAATTTTATATAAAAAACTTATTTATTTATTTATTTATTATTTTATTTTTTAACTACTATATATTCATGCCTTTAATTAGTAGTTTAACTTTTTTAATTAAGTAGGAGAAGAGCTAGCCAATGATATGATTACTTTCCTCCTTCCATGGAGAAAAAGTGAACAATTTGAATCAAGTACAACATTACGTTATCTATGATTCTCCATCTATATAAATATATATAGTGATATTAATCAGCAAACACAAAGTAATAATTAAACAGTCATATACTTTTTTAATTCATAAAAGACTATGGTTTAGAAATAATCTAATTAATTCTTTAGCAAGCAAGCTTGGATAAAAGTATTGAAAAAAAAAAAAAATATATATAGAGTGGATAGTATTATATAGTAATAAATATATAATATCTTTTTTCCCTTTTTCTTTTGTCTACCTTCATTACTCATTTTATTTCACTAACGAGTCTCATGTACATTCAAGAGTTATTGCACCACAAGTATGAGTTATTGTACCACAATTATTCAATAGTGTCAATGTCATTTGCACTAGCTAGCAATACTTTCATCGTACTATGTCCTCAGGTCTCCCAGTTGTTAGGACTTGAGGTACCCCGGAGTATTTTAAAATTTTCTTTCGACAAATGTCATAACTAGTTCTTATTTATCACTAAATTAAAACACTAATAAATAATGCTAGTGAGCTTTCTCGTGACAAGAGTCATTTAATTGCTGAATTAAAAATGTAATAAATAATTCATTTGATATTTTACATATTTTTTAAAAATTGTATTTTAATTCAGAAGTTTAATATTAGAAAGAGTTCAGAGAAAGTACTCATATTAGTACTATTACTACAACAACAAACAATATTGAAAAAAAAAAAAAAAATTGAATAGCAGAACAAAAAATATAAATAAGCCAACCATCATTGAAGTAGACATTAGACCACCAAAATAGTCCTTCCCGTTTGAAATACACACCAATTTATATTTAAACACTTATATCCAGAAGGGATCATAATTAACCACACAATGATTGGGTCACCATAAAATTACTAAAACACCCTTAACCGACACTTGTGAGCTAAGCCAGGCGATTCCACCAAATTCAACATAGATCAGCGTGTACAAGAACACCATCCAAGATTGTTGAAACCCCAAGAGTTTCCTTTTATATATATTTTTATATTACTTTTAACCTTTCATTCAACGCAAACCTTGTCAGCTTTAATAGTTCTCATTATATTTTTATACCTCTCCCTCGCACAAACGTATGTAAACAAATAATATTACTGTACATAAATTACATACTAATGTACATAAATTACATACTAATGTAAGTGGTATTCTTACAAAAAAATGTCATAAATTCTCTCTCTCCCTCCCCCCTCCCTCTCTCTCTCTCTCACACACACAGTCACACACAGACATGTAAACATATGTTACTGTATAAATAATGGTATACTAATATATAGTGTTCTCTGCTCATTGTTCTGTTCGCCGTCCATTCATTTTTTATTCTCTCTCTCCTTCTTCGAGTCTTCTTCAGAATAACAAGAAAGAGAGAGAGAAATCATTTACTTCCAGAGTTTTTCGATCGTTGTGATAGATTTTCACGGTCGGTTTCATATTTGTAACATTTAGATTCTTTTGTTCATTAATTTTGGCAAATGTTGTGGTACTATTAATTGTTTGCATTTGTGTTTGAAAGAGATCTCAAGTTCAGTTTTTTTTCTTGTCAACTGTTTGAAATTTGACCAAGAAAAGAGCTCACAAGCTCTTGTTTTTCTCGGCGACTCTTTCCGGCGATCTCTCTCCGGTTAGCTTCGCTCCTTGCCGGTTAAGATACAAAGATTCGTGGGTTTGATTTTTGCTTTGCTTAAACGCCATTGATTTTGTTTACAGAGGAAAGAAAAAAGTTGAAGTGTCACCTTCTCTCTCTGCAAGTTTTGTTGTAGAGGTTGGACTCGTGTAATGTATGTGGTCAAAACTGGGTCTGACCGGTTTTTCTGAAATGGGTGTCTGTGACTCTGATAGCTATTGCAGAGGCAAGTTTGTGATCTGAGTCTCTTGAACGAAAACAATTTTGATTCGAATCTTCAAAACAGAGCTCCAAATCAACAGCAAGATGATGCGAAAGAAGACTAAACCGACGGGGCCGTCACCGTTGAATGGTGGTTCAGGCAACCTTGGCGGCGGAAGAGGCGGCCCCGAGGGTGAATGGGAAGTCCGGCCAGGAGGAATGCTGGTTCAGAAGCGAAATCCAGATTCAGATCAAAACATTATTCCACCACCCACCATTCGGGTTCGGGTCAAACATGGGTCAATATACCACCAAATCAATATCAGCTCTCAAGCCACATTTGGTAACTAACCAACTGAAAATTTCAGTGACTGCTTGATTTCTAAGAAAAATCTCTTATCATAATCTTTCCAATTGTTATTGATTTATGAAAAAGAGAAATTGGAATTGATTTGAAGGTTGATGATGTGTTTGGGATTGCAGGGGAGTTGAAGAAGATGTTGTCCGGGCCAACGGGTTTGCACCACCAAGACCAGAAGCTGCTCTACAAGGACAAGGAGAGGGACTCCAAGGCGTTCCTGGATGTCACCGGTGTGAAGGACCGGTCAAAGATTGTGCTAGTTGAGGACCCAATTAGCCAAGAAAAGCGGTTGCTCGAGATGAGAAAGAGTGTGAAGATGGAGAAGGCATCAAAGTCAATTTCGGAGATCAGCTTCGAGGTTGATAGGCTCGCTGGGCAGGTAAATTTCTATGCTTTCATCCATTCAAGTAGAGACAATCAAGTTTTATAAGATGATGAATTTGAGTGAAAGATATGTGGATAATTGACTTCGATTGAAATTGGGTAGGTTTCAGCTCTTGAATCGGTGATTTCCAAAGGTGGGAAAGTTGCAGAGAAGACTGTGTTGAATCTGATTGAGATGTTGATGAATCAACTGCTTAAATTGGATGGAATTATCGCCGACGGAGATGTGAAACTGCAGAGGAAAATGCAGGTAATTTAGAAGTTTTTGCATTAGGAAATAGAGTCCAATTATTGAGTCGAGCATAATCCTGAATTTTCTCATCACTATCTTGAAGGTGAAAAGAGTGCAGAAATATGTTGAAACACTAGATATGTTGAAAATAAAGAACTCAATGCCGAGCAGCAATGGAAATCAAGCACAACAGCCATCACCATTTCAAGAGCATAAGCAACAGAGGTACTCAAATGGACAGATTCACTCACCGACTCAGCAGCAGCACGCGAGGCATTCGGTTGGGGATTCGCCAATACAGACACCGCAGCAGCAGCTGCAGCCCTCGAGGCATTCCACCTCAGGGTCTTCCACTTCAGGGTCTGTTGTCATAACCACAAATTGGGAAACTTTTGATTCTGTACCTGCAGCTGCCACGGCCAAATCGGCTACTGTCAACTCGGTACATCCCAATTTCAATTGGGATTTGCTTTAATAAGTAGGTAAAACCCAAATTACATGTTCTGGTGTGCGGATGTGTGTGTTGGATTTGTCCACAAAGTTGGTTTGCTATTTCTCTTCTCCATTCTTTTCCTTATTTTCGATTTTGTTAGCAACCCCTTCTATATGTGATTCAGTTCAGAAATAAACGGGGTACTGTAATATCAATCAACATTACTTTGTTCTTTTCTTTTTATCTCCGTTTCAATCCTTAAATTCATGGCATTGTATGTCTCTTGTATTGACAGTGATGTTGATATCTATAAATAGATCTGTTAATAGCAAATTTCGGGTTTTCAACGAAGTGCATTATAGAATCTTGCAATCCCATTTGAGATATGTTAAAGCCTATCTGTGTGTGCTTGTGTGTGAAGCAGGTCAATCCTAATTTTGGGTTCTTCTAGTTCCAATAAAAAAAGTAGTGGTTTATGGGTAATGATTAATCTTTATACCTTGCTTCCTGTGGAGGAAACAAAATGACACAAAAGAAGAACATGAGTGAAGCAGATTTTTGTAATCATATAACTTACACTCCCAATGATAGATGGACAAGTGTCATAAAAAGTCATGTGGAGGAAATGATAACACAGATTAGTTTAACCATTCTAGAAGAAAATGTGTCTTTGAATCTAATTAACTTCACACTCTTTTTCCAGATTTAGAAAACTTGCATTTTTAGTGAACTTGGAGAAGGCCATAAAAGTTTAGCGCAAACAAGGGCGGGTTAGGGTTAGGGTTAGGGTTAGGGTTACATGGAGAGAAGGTGAAATGCAGAAAAGGAAATATGAGTTGCTTGCTTTACCTCCAAGAGTGGCAAAGCACCCTATGATTCTTCCCCTTCATGATTACGAGATTGGCTGACAATGAATGTCGGAAAGTGAGTGCATCAAATCTGAACCATGTATCTGCTTGTGGTTGGATAATTTTGCCAAGAGGCGCAACCAGCAATCATAGCCGAAGCATATCCATTCTTCGTGATAGCACATCCACTTGAAATTTTTGGGAAAAAACCCTATTTTTTGGTGGAAAAGAAATTGTCTGTATTAGCAGCATGTTGTTTCAATGAAGAATAAAATCATACAAGGCATGCATGCATTATGATAGAAGTGATGGTGCTTCTTTAGCTAACAATTAATAAATTTTAAGAAATTGAATAGGCAAGCAAAATTCAGGAAAAAACACAGAAGAATACATCATTGCTAACTATTATCAAAAATAAAAAATAAAGAAAGAAAAACCCCATTTTTGTTGTCCTCTTAAAGTAATCAGTAGTCCAATAACAGAGTTAAGGAAAATTTCTACATTTGTGCAGTATGTTTTCCGTATTAAAGAAAAATCTCTGTAGCAAAGACAGTCTTAATTCCAGCCCAAGACAGTCTTAATGAAAACTCAGACAAAAATATTTCTAATATTAAATTAGATCCTTCATTCAATTCTATAAAGCATTTTCCCAACCATTTGTTAGACCAATCAACGATCAGTTTAATTGCAAGGAAGACAACGGTAAGCATTTTCCCAACCATTTATAAGCTGCGTATCATTCTGAAATTTCTTTTTTATTCCCACAAATCTCAGAAAATCAAATGTAACATATGGGTATATACATACCAAACCATTTCTTATAAACCATGTGCTTTATTACCAAAGGCCCAAAAAACCAAAATAGGTGATGAACTTCATTGATCCAATGAAAATAACAGGAAAAAGTTCAGCAGATGATCATCACAAATCAAGGAACGGAACAACAACAATTGTGGACAATCAGCTAATAAACAAATCACGGTGGATGCACAAAAGCACACCTCTTCATTCATATACAATACATTTATCTTGGAAATCTGGAATCATGCTGCAACAACAGGATCTTATATGTTTATCAAAGTGGAAAAAGAAGGCAATGTTAAGATCACTGTTTGTACTCGAGAAAGATCTATACTCAGAAATTTTTACATTGTTTCCGGATATCTTGGCACTGTTGCATACAAAAAAATATGCAGATATCGGCTGGGCGAAGATGTAATGTATATGTCGATACAGGTAAAAAAGTTAAGTTATGCAACTTTTGAATAAGAAGAGTTCAAAGCCCCCTTCATCCCGTGGCCCTGTCTCTCACATTTCATTTCTCTTTATCTTTCAAAAGTGCTTCAATGCCAGAAAGAAGAGGAAGTTGGAGTCTGGAATAGCTGGTTCTTTGAGCTGTTCACAACAGTTTTGACTGTCTGGTCTTGACAGTACAATTAACAAAAATTGCTTTTCAAAAAATTCCGAATATCCTATCATCCAATAACCATAAAGGACTGTTCACAGTTCAACTGGTTTGACCATCAAGTCTAAAATGTAGGACTACTTAGAGTTACTGTCCAAGAAAAACAAAATTGGTCCTAATCCTAGAAAATTTGAAAGCAACGGTTACTAACGTACTGTCCTTCTTGTGGCAGCCATTAACTTATCTGAATATTTTACTCCTACAGTCGATTCATTGCTTGCTGTTTTTTGAGGTCCAACACTATCCAATATGAAGCATGACCTGACTGATTACAAAGAAAACAACAAGGTTAATTCGAATATAAGGCATAACAATGCATATGCAACTATAACAGGAGCCTCAAAAGCATAATTTCTCCCCAACATCCCCTTAAATCCATCCTCAAGAATGATGATATCACAATGCAAAAAATTGTCATTTCAAGGTGCTTGAGTCTTTCCTCATTATATCTATGGTAACTATTGCTGCAGCTGGCTTTTAGGCCTAACTAAAATTGCATTCTGTGCAATTTTCCCTAAAACCGTATGATATAAAATTATATTAGTAATGCATCTTCTGACAATTAATAACTTTGGAATCCTCAACTATCCTCATGTTACGTTTGGGAGCATCGAATTGGCGCCTTGGAATGGTGTTGGAAGAAGTGGCTAAATTGTTGTGCGTCCAACCGTATGATATATGTTGTGTACAAAATAAAATAATTACAAAGTTCGAGTGAAGTATGCATTGTGGAAAAAATAGAAACCCTGTATATGCATGTGGGGATATGATGTTGGGATGATAGTGGAGCTGTGAAGGGTGTAAATTGAAGATTGAAGTGACTTTACACCACTGGAAACCTCCAGATTATACCAATGGGCATTAGCCCACATGTTATGATCTCTCCGCCCCAAAGGGGAGGTTGATCGTTCAAGCTCTTCTAGGGACAATATTGCGAGTGTGTGCAGGGAAAAAAAAAAAAAAAAAAAGGGGGAAAAACACCTCCAGATTATGGCAAGAAATATTGTATCCATATGGCTAAGCCATTGCATTGATTAGTATTTCACAACAATTAGGATCACGGTGATGTTAATGAAAAATAGTGGATGGTTAGGATTGATTCACTTAGGATGTTAATGTAAAATAGTGGATGGTTAGGATTGGTTCACTTGGGATGTTAATGTAAAATAGTGGATTGATTCTGAGATTTGCTTTCTTTGCTTCCAGAAAAGCCTTTCATATATCATTGCACATAAACTTCACAATGTCAAGTGGTTTAGGCATCATATTAAAACGACCACTTCCAAATTCCAAACCAACTGATATCAAACTTTTAGTAAAATAAAATTAATAGACAGAAAATAGAACCTCTTAAAGGCAGAATCCATTTCTTTTCAGAAACTGATTTCATCAAAAACCAACATAAGAGCTTAAACCCTTATATTCCAACAGCACATCTGAATCAGAATCCGAAAAATATTCAAAGGTTGATCAAAATGATAGCCCACTACATCATCTAATCCTATATTTCTATAAATTTATATCAACCATTATAATACCCAACATGAACAAAATCCACTAACTAAAGTTTTCACAAACAGATCATAAGATTAATGTAAAATTCAACAAACATTGACACATCATTCCGTAAGAAAATGGGGAAGGGAATCAGAAACTGACATAGCGGACAAAAAATTCTAACAATCAATTTGAACAGTACGTTCAAAGAGACATTACCTAATTTGCTTTCCGAGCAATAGAAAGATCAATTCGTTGATACTACTTTCAAAAAAACCAAAATTTCTGAGGAGACAAAAGATTGCTCTTCAGAGAGCGCTATGGGTCGTAGTAACGATTTAAAGGAGAGTTTCGGATTTTCAGTTTTGAATCCAACACTGGTTTATATATCGGGCCTCCTATTTTTGCGGGAGACCTTATATATGGGCCAATGGCTTGTCTAAAATGAAGAAGAGTGGACGAGCTGTGAAAGATGGGCTTTTTACTCTCAATTATTGTTTCAATGTCTATTTATATCCTATATCTATATCTATTAGCATTTTTTATATTTAATTTTAAAAAAGTAGAAGCATTTTTTATTTTTTATATACATTTTCATATTTTTTATTAAAAAAACAAGGTTATTCGTTACATTAAAAGTGTATTAAAAAGTACATTAAAAGTGTGTTCAAAGTTTTTATATTTTTTAAATTTTTTTTTTTTTTTTTTTATATTCTTTTACGAAGGCCAAGAAGTCCAATAATTTTGGCCCATCAGCAGCTCCAGGAGTTTAAATATTTTCCTATATGCTTTTATGAAAGCCCAACACTCCCAACAGTTTTAGTCCATCCATCCCATATTCCCATGTCTAACAAATTTAGCCCAATCCAATGTCACTGCGTTCTCATTTTGACAAATTATTTATTTATTTACTCGCGTACATTCAAACCACCCAGGTTAATTAGAAACAACTTGACTTTGTGTGTGAAAAGAGTTATTAAAAACTTCTGCTGAAACCTGTTTCCTGTTGGGCTTGCATGTGATTCATTCATTACCTTACACTAACCTGTACACTTCTTCAAAATAACACAATCGAATTATTAACCCATAATGTTCACAAATTTATTTTGCTCTGCTTAGACTTGAGGAGACATTAATATGTAAGATTAGAAAGAAAAAGGCTTTCTGACTTGATGAAATTATGTGATTGCTTTTACCGGAGCCACACGCAAAGACTTTACCAAAGAGAACGAGTCTTAACAGTTTACTCATTAATCTATGAACGAATAATACATCCTCCGAATTCAAAGAATGCCCAATGAATTGTAAATGAATGAAGGTACGGACTCCACAATACGACATCACTCTACTCACATCATCCGCATTTGGCATCTTCCTAGCCGAATTCGGAAGGCCTATCATTGACTTTGTGTATGAAAAGAGTTATTAGAAACTTCCCGCAGAAAATTGAAGTACCTGTTCCCTGTTGGGGCCCCTCTCAAGTTCACACCTGCTAAAAATACATTGACTTTGTGTGTGGAAAG